TTTTGAGAGGGAAGGGTCAATTTGAAGAATGAGATCTAATTTTAGGTTTTGAGGTTTTAACCAACTTAAAATACCCTAAAATAGGTAGAATAACCGTTTATAATAATTCCCCAAAGTACCCAAACTACTCCTCACTTAATTGGACCTTTTTAAACAAGTCAAACTTGAGTTTTATTTTCGCAGATTTCGTCGGGAAACAAGTTCGCGACGCGGAGGTGTTCCCACAAGTTTTCATAAATTAAATTACGAGACAGTAGAGTCCGCGATGTGTCCGTGACGCGGACCAAACTTTTGGCCCTTGGTGGAGCTAGTCCGCGATGTGGACTTGCTCCCTCCAAGCACAACTTCAAGCTGCTTGCTTGGCCAAGGTTGGTGTCCTCCTCGGGGACCCTTAGGGTGGCCCCCAGGGAATCTTGAGTTCCATTTCTTGAGAGAGTTTTGAAGAACACTTAACCTTTAAATAACACTTTTTTCTTAATTTTGGGGTTTTACATTTTGGAATTTGAATTTGATAAATTGACTTTGAATCCAAAGTTGGTTTACTCTTAATTGCTTGATTTCAAGTTACCCGAGAATTAAAATCCACTTAAAAAACTAATTGTGTTATGACCAGCTTTTTATCCATATTAGTCATAAAGAACAACATATATGATAAAGTCATAGACATTGTTGTAAAATCTGTCACTAATTCATTTGTAAGTGAAAATATCAGCATACGTGAAACTTAAAAGGAAAAAAATATGTTCTCTCCTCACAGAAAATCCATTTCGAGAGTTGGTGAAAAAAATTAAATTAAAAGGTGATTTTTAGTTTACACTATATCGCAAATATGTATTCCATAAAAATATGGTAGTGTGGGATAAAGAAACTACCTATTTAAAATCGATTTCCAACTTAAGCTCTTGATGAATCTTTGGCGGAGCTGCCTGTTAGAAAAGCAGTTTTGGTCATAGTATTAACAAACATGAGGGTAGGAAAACTGGAAAAAGCTATGGAAGCTACACCAATTAATTTGCATATGAAGTAGCAAGAATAAGCTTATAAATGAGAAAAAATTAAACACAAGCAGGAAAGAAGAAAGGCTATCCGAAGGAAATTATAGATTAAGGGTAAATCACAAGAAATCTAAAGGAGTTGTTACCTGAAATCAGTGAATGAAGTGGAAGAAGCAGGGAAATCGCAAAGAGAATGGGAGAAAGATGAAGCAGCGGAGAAGGCAAAGAGAAATCCTAACAAAGATGGATGAAAATGCAAGGAATACACTTCTTTACGTCTCTATTACTCTTTATGGGGCATATTTCAGCATCCCATATGAAGTTTAGGTGAGACTCTATTCAAATTCAAATCAACTGGATGTTGTCAGTTTTCTGCAACTAAATAACCAGACAATAAATTGTAACTAAGATTAAGCCAATAAAGCTTAGCTTAATTCACAAGACTATCAAGGATTGCACCAGATAAAGAATTATTACTAAGTTCAAGTGTTTGAAGAACTGGACATAAACCAAGTGAACCAGGAATAGAACCAAAAAATCTGTTATTGTACAACGGAACACCTCTTAGATTGGGTAAAAAACCCAAATATGAAAGGACTGAACCACCAATTTCATTATCATGGAGACTAAGTTTTCTGAGTGCTTGAAATTGACAAATACTTTCAGTGATTTTCCCCCCAAATCCTTTTGAAGGAAGCTGAATAACTTAACTTGTCCTTGAGCACATTTTATTCCGACCCAAGTACCAGAACAAGATCCATAACCATTATCATTCCAGCTACTTAAATACCCTCTAGGATCAACTAATGTTTAAGCGCCTCAAGTGCTTGATAATTTGCCTCAGTGATAATTACACCATCCCAATCTTGATCTAAAGCTAACTGAGCTGCACAAATCATCAGCTGCAAGAACAACAAAATTTGGATAAATTGTATCCATTTTTCCTTCTTTTAACACACCACACATCTCTTTCCTGGATTAAAAACATGAAAACCCCAAATGGGTACTGGTAAAAACATCTAAAATCTTGAACTTGGTCTTGATTTTCAATTTTTTTGTTAGGAAAAATGTGAATTTTCAGTTCATATCCCTTTTTTATGCTTTGAGAAGTACATATCTATTAATTGCCTGATATATTAATTATGAATCATTGAACAGTATCAATTTTCTACTTATGAGAAAATGAGACCAGCGTGAAACAGAGGGATAATCTTTACTAATTCAGATGGATGAGCGACAAAGAAGATTCATCAACATTTTGAATCATCATTTTGTTCAGGATATGTTGCATAGAATCTTACCGAATGATTTAGTTCTTCAAGGCATATCATCGAACACCTTGGGTTCATCAATCTTCAGCCGATATTATTACCACTGCATCAAAAGGAGTAAATAAAAATACATGCATATTGAAAAAGAAAGCAGAAAACGAAAAAAGGAAACAAAATGGAGAAAAGGGAGCTAGCGCCATTTTTGGAAAACCTTGCAATAAATATGGCAAGCGGGAAAGAACGTGGTGAGTTGTTCTTAGGTTTAAACCATGTGGAAATTCAAAATGCAAACAACTAGAGTTTGTTAATAGGTAAAATTAGAAGTAAAATGACTGAACCACCCTTGGTAGTCCGAAGAAACCCCCTCTTATTAGTAATGAGATGATGAAGATTAGCTGATCTTTTTCTTTATTTTTATGAATTACAAATATCTGTCACGACCCAGGGGTACCCCTAGAGGTAACATGACGTATAAAACCCCGAAGAACCTGATACAAGCCACTTAGTTTTCATAACATAAGAAATAAAACAATAGTCCAAGTCCAATAGTTTTTATAAAAGAAAAGCACAAGTCTAAAACACTTGTCTCAATAGTCATCTTGTACAATAGAATGAAATTGGGCCTAGCCCATGCATCATGTCCAAAACCACAATACAAGAAGTAAACTAAAACAATGAAAATCCGTCCTTGAAGCATGAGGACTCAACAAGCTCGGTAACCTCAAAATCAACCACATGCCACGAAACTGAGAAACGTGACTGTCGAACCCTATATTTGGAGAAATGTAAGAAAGAGTATGCGTTATTACAAAAAAATGTACCAAGTATAATATCTATGCATTAAACATTTGAATCATGCTAAAAAGGGACATTTCATTTTAGGACATGCAATTGACCAAGCTAAATCATGATATAAGAGAGTTAAAAAACATAAGTCATAAAACCATGATCAATGCAAGCTAACATCTTTAAAACATTTGAACACGTATGAGATACTTCATGAAGTAACCTTAGTTCATTATTATTGTGTGGAATTAGTCTTAATCAGCATAGAGACCATGTGAGCTATTACATGATCCCCGGTGTCTCCCACACCGAAAAGAGTTATCCTACTTGCCAAGGTAAGGACCATAAATCTGAGCTAAAGTGGATCCACTAGCTAATGTCTATCTAGACAATCATCCTATGGGGGAACATAGGTAAGGGACAAAGAGATTTCTTATAGAAACCCAGCCTTTAGTAACGGGAGGGATTCCATCTTAATATCCTCTCGGTGCTCTAACCATAAATCCCATGGAATAGTTGATGTTTGCGTAATTAAGACACAACTTCCAATGCAAGTGTCTACGATCGTACAATAGTAAAGTAATCCAACCAAGGGTTGGGGTCGAGTCCCAAGGGAGTGGGCTTGAGAATTAATAGAAAAATAAAATTAAGTTCTAATTAGTCATAGCTAAAAACATTATCGAATGTAAACATGTTAAATCTAAGGGGTGATGCAAGCATCAATTATCAATGGGGGTTTGTGACAAATAAGCAAAAATAGAAAAATTACAATCAAGGAGATGGGATAGGAATACGGGTTAGACTAAACTATTGGGTACAAGCTTTTGATAGTAAATCCATTGAGTATTTGTGACTAGGCTAGATTATAGTGGGGGTAAATTCTCTCTCGCGCAACTTACCTCGAATCAAATGGGTTCCTCTCGGACACCCACTTGCCGCATGAAGAACATCCTCCGCCTTAGAG